GCTTGTTAACTCATCTTATGCCTATGTGCTGTTTGATTCTAGTGCCCTATACTCTTTTATTGCACACTCGTATGTTCAAAAAAAAAAAAAATGCATTGCTTATTGGTATGTCTGATGTTGAGATGTGTGTGAACACCTCTTTAGGAGGGATGAAGGTCACTAGAGATATTTATAGAATTGTATTCATCTTTATTGAGGATAGACAACTGAATGTTGACATGTCCATTTTGGATATCTTCGACTTCGATATTATCTTGGGTATGACTCGATTGTCTCAATATTATGCCTTCCTTGACTGTCATAAGAGATGAGTTATATTCAATATTCCTAGTGAACCAAACTTTTGTTATCGAAGTGTAGGTTTGTTTGCTCCTCTTGTTCTTATATCCATGCTGTTGGCACACAAAATTTCTTGCTTAGGGGTATTATGAGATTTGGCATGCGAGGGAAGTTGAGTCTGAGATACATAGGACCATATATCGTTCTTGACTAAATCGGAAAGGCTACTTAGGAGCTAGAATTTAAGTTGTGTCAAGTATATCCACACTTGTTCAACAATCCAGGTGAGTTTAGAGGACTAAACTCTTTTTTAGGAGGGGTGAATGTAATACCTTAAATAATTTTCAAATTTTTCGTAATTATTATTATTAAGAGGATTAAAATTTAATTATAAGTAGATATAATCTTAAAATTCAAAATATTATTATCTCATTAAATCAAATTAATTTAAAATTTTAATTTAAGATTAATGTCTTTTAATTTAGAAATTATTATTTCCCCAAATAAATTTAAACAGATGTAAAGTCTGCCTCTTAATCCTATTCCATTCTCAATATAAATTTGCTTCTATGCAATAAACACCTTCTCCCATATTGAATCGTCTTCTTCTCCTAAAATTCAACTCTAAGATTTTAAAAGTGAGTATATTTGTTTCTCTTGATTTCTTGTCCTTTCTTGTTTCCTTAGATTTTTATTGCTAAACCTAATATTGTTATCCCTGGATCTCTTTTTTACACTTGTTATTAAAGTTTCATTTCAAATTTGACATCAAAATCTTAAATCTTGATGAGTTTTCATATATTACCTCAATGATTATTAAATTAGCAATAGATAATGTAAATATATATATTTATTGATTTATTAGTAGAAATTAAAGGAGACGAAAGAATCACAGTACAGCAGCACCCACATGATTGTGTGGGTGATGTGTGTTGCTGCGTGCGTGATGACGCATTATAGCGTCACCATTGCTTCGCTGTTTTGGAATTTTCAGTAGCGTCAACACTTTAATCCTGGTAACAGACGCCTACTAGTCCATTAAAATAATATAAAAAAATAGTAGGGGCCGGTGGTGCCCGTGTGGTGCACTACATGGACACTATGTGCAATGCAAGGTTAAGGGTTGAGACAGTGGTGTCAATACCCTCAATTTTAGTCAATAAATAGGTGCTGACACTTGTGTAGGAAATTTAACATAAACTTTATAAAATTAGATATTATTAAGTTAAATTAGGATTAGTAATTTTAGATTGTTGCTAATTAATATTCAATATAAATTTTAGGTTCTTGATTATTTACACATTTCAAATTTAATATTTTCATTTTCGAAGTAAGTGAATTTATGGTTTTACCCTTAATTTTAAAATATGATTTTTATCGATTTTGAGATGGTAGCAGGATTAAGAACCTGTTTTGGTGTTTTGGTTTAGTCATCATGACTGAATCTCTTTTTATTCAAAGTTGGACTTTAATTGTTTAAGCAAGGCAATTATAGAAATTTCTTAATACAGGCTATTGAACCCTTGTGATATATGTTTTCTTGAAATAAGTATGTTTACTTGAAATGTACTTGCTAGCCTGTTTTAGTCTCCAACATAGTCATGTTCTACTTGTGCCTGCTAGTGGGAGGTTTATAAATGCTAGCACTTATCAACATGTTATTTGTGGAACTGATTCATTCTTGTTATACTTCTCATCCTGCTTGTAGGATTATGCACTAGCAAATCTTGTGCTCGCTAGTGAGAGGTTTATAAATGCTGACCATGACTTATAGAAGAGACGTCTATTTCATTTCTCGTACTTGTACCAGTTTTCTTCATAATTGACTTATACTTGTTGGCTTGCTAAATTTTAAAATTTATAAATAAAATGAGGAAACCTAATATTCATTTACTGAGAGTATATCTCATATTTTTCCTTGTCCACCATTTCAATTAACGATACGATACTAGAGACATCAGGGATCAAGGTGTGTGACGAATACTTACTAGAGTCAATTTGGACTTCGTTGAGACTTGATTTAGCTTTTTTGGACTTATTAGAAAGTTGAGGATTTAATTAGCAATTATTACATTATTTGACTTTGAGGTATTTATTTGAACATTACTTAGATTTTAATAACAATAGCGGTTTTAATAAACTTTATTTATTTGTAATTGATTATCAATAGTGAGTTAACTTGGTTCTCGGCCTGATGCACTTGTGCGTCCCACCCACAAATGTACGGCGTTTATTTCACTCTAGGGTTTGGGACATGACAACTGCCAATAAAAAATCTACACCTAGTTTTCTTTCTAATAAGTTGGAACTCTTTTCCTGTGACTTTATTTATTTATTTTTTTTGATACCATGACTTTAT